TCAAATATTCTAAAAAATGTAGGTTGCTTAGTTCTTTCTGCATTTTTTATCACTTAAGATTTTCTCTTAAATTAGAGTTAGAAACACAATGAAAATCAAACAAGTTAATGGATATACAAACTTCAACTCCAAAAAATAACTAGCTGTCTAGATACAATCTTGTTATCCTAATATGACAGATGTAGACGATTTATACAAATGTGAAAAACGTTTTATGTTCTGCAATGCTAGATGAAATCTTTAATTAGGCATCAAATTTGTAAAATGTTAGAGATAGTATGTAGGTATATAGGGAAAATAAAAAATATAATTATAATGAAGAGTAAGAACTTTTAAATTTTAATATAACTAGAACAAAATATTCAGTAATTAAAAATTTTGATAGGAATTAAAAATTTGCTCGAGTATAAATGTTGTGCTTGTTTTTAAGTGGTTTCGATTTACTTTAGGTTTGTTCCAACAATGCTCAGAAATGAGTTACTGACATCAGGATTCTGCACAGTAGTTTATTGAGACTGCAAAATTGTGTACTACCCAGTGGTTTGTTTCTGATCGTTGGAACAGACCTTTTATTCAATATAGGTATAATCAAACAAGTTAAATGTGTATCTGGAATTTTTTTAATTTTACAAATCTGGAGCTTGAATATGGATTTTCAAATGATGCACTTTTTGTAGTTTTTAATAATGCTTATTTTTTTTTAGTTTCTTGTTCATTTAATAAAGATGCTTTTTTGTATATGGGGTGATAATTTTTAAGCAGAGGCGTGCAGCACCCACAAGATCACTGCCAGAATTAATTCAAATGGGTAATCTAAAAATATGGAGTAGGTTCTCTGCACAAGATTTTCAAGAACTTGTAAATACAATGTTTTAATGAATTATTGCCGTTATCAAAGTTAAAGGTGATGAAACACTCATGGAAATTTGTAAATATTTAACCCTTTCAGTGTATTTGTCCCTCCAGAGGGACACTCTTAATTAACCCTAAAGTATAAATCTGTTAATTTTGGTAGAATTTTTTTCTTTTTGGTTTATTTACTTTAATATTATAAAAAAATTATTTTCATAGTAAATTTTTGTTTTTGTAATGTCCCTGAACAGGGACGTTATGTCTTGGAGTAATAAAAAATACTATGAAAATATTTTAATTTACTTAAAATAAACAAAGAAAACATACAATCTACTACAATGGTATTTTTTTTAATGAAAGTGGAAGTGAAAGGGTTAAAAAAATAAAAGAATTTATCAGATTTATGTATGATTTGTTCTTGTAGTGACAGTCACTATAAATATGAGAAGTGTGCTAATTGAAACAGGACAGGGCTCATATACTTAGTTTTATTTAAAAAGTAAACCTTGTCATTAATTAAATATAAATGATTATTATATTATATTATTGAAATATATAATGTAAAACAAATTGTTGTAATGTTTTTCTGAAATCAGAAGTGTTGCCAGGTTTGTTACTGTCTGCTGCTGTGACGTGTACAAGCGAACATAATAAACCTACTTATTGAGTACATTAATATAAAAAACTCATAATAAATCTGGAAACTATACATTTGAAATTTTCCTACTTATTTTTTCATTACTGCTATTATCCAATAGAACAATTCCTATGCTTTTATTTAATATTTCATTTTCCACAAATAAATATAAAAAAATAATTAGTAAAATTATAAAATTAGTTCCAATTAAATAATGAACTATATTATTAATTGAAATTGTTAATATAAGAAATGAATAAATTAAGAAAATAAAAGTGTAATAATGGGAAATGTGTAAATTGTATTTATTTCTAATTTTAAATAATTTTGTGTGTATTGTTAATTTTCTTTCTAGTGTAAAATTAATAAATTAATAATTTTAACAAAAATTTAATGAGATGTTTTATTTGTGTTAGAATCCGAATACAATAAGAATGCTGCTGTCATAATGATTACTCTGAATTTCAAATACATAGTATCTATAACTTATCAATAAATAAATATTAAGTTGTTAGGTATAAAAAAATATTTCCTATATTCCTAAAAGATTAACACTTCACCTCCAGTGGATAACTTCGATAACTGTATCAGCAATACTTTCCACATTCTCGTCTCCTTTGAGAAGTAGTCCCATCATAAGTAATAAAAGCAGGAACAGCATTTTTTAGGTAGTTTTTTTTATATTTGCACTGCACATTAAATAATGGTAATCTTATAATTGAAGGGTCTGGAAATGCACCATTCTTGTTCCGGCTAGTTCTGATAGTTGGAATCGTAACATATAGTTGCAAGGTTATATTTAATTATTTGGAACCAGGGAATAAGCATATTGAAATAACTTTTACTTTTTATCATGTATTTACCAATTTTTTCATCGATTAAAAATAAAAAAATTGTAGATTTTCAATTAATAGGATCGTTGTGTCAAATTCTAGACTTCATTCAGTGCGGAATGGTGTGAATATGCGGATTTCTAGACTCCTCAACTACAAGATAACCTTAAATAATTATTAGGTACATCAGAAAAAACATTGTTTAAATTATTAACCAGTGTATGTACAAATTATTCAATACACAAATACCAACATCTACGACCCCAAACTACATTTATTTACTTAGGATTAACTCCTATAAAAATACAGAATTGAAAAATCTTAAATATTTCTTACAACTCAAATTTGTATTAATTTAAAATCAGTACTTCTATAAAAACCTAGTAAATACATTTAAAGAACTGGAACAAAACACATTCGGGGATGATTATTATTAAACAAATGTATATTTAAACACTTGAAAATAAAAAGGCTACAAGTAAAATAAATTTATCATAGTATCTATTTGATTCTTATAACCAGATACAACTTTCTAGCATTATAATCAGGCTAAAAGGAATAAGTCAAAGATTTTATTTATTCACAGGGTCAGAAAAATATCAAAAGAAATAGGTACCTTGTGTATATGAAATTTATACCATGAACACATTATAATAGGGTCCAAGTCATAACATTATTAGTACCAAGGGGACAGGATAAATAATACGAAATATTTATATAGTAAAACTTTATACTAATAATTATTTTTATTACAGAAAAGACAAAGTTGAATAACCTATTTACATAACCTACAATCATTTAAAAGGTAGACATTAAACATATTTACTTGAAAAATAACGTTTCCTAGTAGATTTCTTAGCACTTTTTCACGGATAACATAATTTACATTAAAATGTTTTTCACAAATGGAACTTTTGGGTTTAATGTTTATTTCCATACCACCTAAATAATTGCACCATATTCTGTATAACTGTTTTTTGGCATTATAAAACTGCTATCAATATGTTGAAGACTCTCTCCCATAATCACAATTAAAAACAGCTCAACGATCCACCATGATTTATATATTTTTAGATTTTAAAAAATATTTATCTGTCAACACTTTTCAAATTGCAGCTCCTACCACCTTCATCTTTTATTTACTTTCTCGCCGGATAGATACTAGCGAACCTAGCGGATTTTAGCTAGGAAGTACGATCGGTTTTATCGCCGTTTTCATTTGTTTTTAATTAGGAGTTGATACACCTTATAGTACACCATGCTAAGGACCGATTCCACCGTTGTGTTAAACGAAGTTTAAAATGACATTTTTACATTAACAATGTCATTTTAATCTCCGTTTAACACAACGGTGGAATTGACCCTTAGGACCGATTCCACTGTGGATTCCATCGTTGTGTTAAACGAAGTTTAAAATGACATTTTTACATTAGGGAGTTTTAGCAAACAGCCGCTAACCATCCGCTAACGTTACCTTAGGGATAGACTGTAATCTACTCCGTTCAATCTTTATGAAAAAGGTCACAATCTAAGTTTAACGTAACGTTAGCGGAAATCTTACGTACATTTGCTAAAACTCTCTAATAACAATGTCATTTTAATCTCCGTTTAACGCAATGGTGGAATCGGTCCTAAACGAAGAATAAAATTAGATTTTTACATTAACTAAGGGTCGATTCCACTGTGGTGTTAAACGGAGATTAAAATGACATTGGGGTCTATTCTGTAAAAATTTCTTTATATTTAACGGCCTTTAAAAATATTTTCTTCTTTAATTCGGTCACTATTTAAACGGATCTTTAATATACATTAGAGGACTATCTTAAAGAAATCTGTTTAAAATGTTTAAATAATGATAGAAGTAAATTAACGAATACGAACATATTTTTATAGGCAGCCAATATTTTTAAAGGCCGTTAAATATAAAGGAGTTGTTACAGAATAGACCCCATTGTTAATGTAAAAATGTCATTTAAAACTTCGTTTAACACAACGGTGGAATCGGTCATTTTAATCTTCGTTTAACACAAAGGTATGGAATTGAACCTAAGCAAAGATTAAAATGACATTGATGTAAAAATGTCATTTTAAACTTTGCTGGGCCGAGTTTTAACAGTAACGAGGCAAGTTCGTATGATGGAAAACTGTTAAATTAGAACATAATAGGCGGAAAATAATTGTAATGTGTTGGAAAAAGTTTTCCACTTGCCTCGGTTAAAACATGGGTCTATGTTCCTGTCATGGTCTATGATATTTGTCTGCAAGTCATAAAAAACATCTATTTTCGTCAAGGACGAATTACGAACTTGACCAAGGTAGCTTTATTCTATTTATAAATAGGGCAAAAACGGATCGCTGTATTTGCTGCGTTTGAGAATCCACATCGGATGCATTTTTTACATCTCGAGCGTTTTTTTATCCACATCGGACACATCCGTCCCATTACATTTACGTATACTGAACCACGTGATCAAAGATTTTTTACATCTCAGATGCATCCGATGTGGATTCTCAAACGCAGCATATGTAGGGAATAAAGCCATGAATAAACCGAAAAAGATAAAATTTACTTTTTTTTTATAAAAGAAGCAAGGTTGCATAAAGTAGTTTTAACGAACAGTAGATCTAATACCCGTTAAAAAAGAAGAACCCAACAAAATAAAATAAAAGAAGAAGAATTTTTATTTGACAAGAGAAATGACGTTTGTTGATAAATTTTTTGTTTTCCGAAATGTTTTTTATCCTTAATCTTATCTTTTGTAGTTTAGTTCATTAGAGTAGGTTAAAATTAAGATAATACGATAATAGGTGAAATAGACTTATCCTAATATCATAAATATGACAATGGGAGATGAAACTCCTGTGACAACATTAATACTGCCTGTGTTAATACGCCCTATTTTATCAGAGGTATGTTTGAATTTAATACGAATTCAATAAATTATTTATAATTCTGTATTATTTAGCTTGAAAAGCAGGATGTCTCAGCATCCCAGACACTTAGATCAGCTCTCACAAAGGCAGAGGCGTCTCATCCTGGACTTACATACGACCTTGTTATTGGTATTTTGCGGAAGGGAGATCTTACTGTTAATATGAATGAGAGTATTTTACGTTTGCAGGGAGCTGTTTCAGATTCTGACGGTAAATATGACACCTAAACTTCATATAAAATTTACTTACAAAATGACATACTGACTAGAAGTCTTTCAAATTTTTCCTTTCTGAATAACAACTACCTACTTACAATAAATATTTTTACAATAATTTCCATTCATAAGCTCAAAGTTAAGGAATAAATGCATGCACCAAATACTGAAGTGTCCTTTGTTTTCTATTGATTAACTAGCAAAATTAAAAATAAATATGTCTTCATTCTTTAATAACTATAGACAAGCAAATGCTGGAAAATTTTCTGAATATTCTTTGAGAAGAGATACAAAATTTATTGAGTTCAAAATTAGGAGTTCTCTGGAATTTAAACTAAACAACCCAAGCCGTTTTTGAGTATTAAAAAAAAAATAAATAAACCTAGGGAGAAAAAAATTCTGAGAACATTGCAAATGCATTTGTTGATATTTCAGTGCATAAAATATCCAATAATCAAAATATAGATTGTGGAACTTTAAATTTTTCTTCCATTAGTAAATCTGATATTTTAAAATCTAAAAAAACAACAGGTACTGAAGGCAAGAAGGTACACCATTTTAAAGGGCTGGTTGATTTAATTTTAGTTCTTATATTAAGTTTAATCTGTAAATTTAGGGTCTTAAATAACACTAGTGAGGTGTAATGCTTCTAGTGAGCCTTCTTCTGCAGTATTGGAATGTATTGCTCTACCTACTGCCACATCCTATAAGTAATACAGCTATGTAGTGAAATATGTCAAACTTGTTTGGCTATACAAACATTTAAAAATTGTAACTGGAGAATATTTTAAATTTTTAAATCTATCAATTTTGTTGCAAATACTTTGCATTTTATAATTTTAAAATATAAAAATGTAATTCATCATATTATATTTTTTGGCATTTTATTGCTCTGATCTAATTTATAAAAAGATATGAATCATGTTTTTAAATAAACACCTTTTTTTAATTATGAAACATCTGATAAGATAACATTTAAATTAATTATAGTCTTAATATTTGAATATGGTTAACACTTTCACTGCCCATGACGTTCCTTAATGTCATGATAGTTCTTTCCCCCATGCTCATGATGTTTTGTAACATCATTTGAAAATGATGAATGTAGACAAGCCACCATGCAGTTAATTGCATTTATAACCTCATAGGCATGTAAAACGGTTCTAAAATTAGTGCATTATGAATTTGGTTTTGGTACTGTGTTTGTGAACTTAATATAGCAAGGCTTTACCCTGTTCTAATTAACTGAGGTGCATAATTAAACAATATTTCAGTTTGTGGTATAGACACACAAACAAGTCTCAAATAAAAGTTATATGGATTTGAAAAACAATTTAAAAATATTTTTGGATATACAGGGTGTTACACTTTTGCCTGGAAAGTAAAAATATTTTTTAAATGGAACACCCTGTATTTTCTCTCAGTTTTAGATTGGCTAGGTAATACTGTATTGATCCGTAGAATATTTTTATTAGGTATTACATGTTTGCCAAGCAATTAATTTTTTTGTGAAGATATAGAATGTTACAAACCCCAAATAAAATTAATGATTGAAAATTATTTAAAATACAGACTTATGACATATCAAGCTAATAGAATAGACAGGATAGAACTAGTTCATTTTACTCAATGTTATTAAATGCATATAATTTTTTCATTTACTACATTATAAATTTACTTATCCAACAATATCATCACATTAGCCTATTAAACATACACTGGGTGTCTCATCAGTGCGTAATTGATCGATAGCTGTTTTATTATTGAAGATACGAAGAAATTTTTAATATGAAACTTGTTCAATCATATTTTACAATTATTCTTAAATATTCAGGATAGTCCATATATGAGGGATGGACCAAACTTATACTGTTTTAAACCAAAGGTGTAACAGGATTTTGGCTTCACTTGCTGTGTTTGGCGCTGAGGTGGTGAAATCAGAATGAGGGTTGGTCAGGCACCAGTTTTGCCAACGCAGTTTGCTCTGCGACCCTGTAGTATACCAGAGTGTACTCAAAGTAGACTCAGTGGAGTTAAAAATACCTCCAAGTGGTCACCACTAATGGGGTAGCCTCTAAAATACAATAAATGATACTATACTACCTCACACCTTGTACCCTATGGTACCCTGAAATAAAACGGTTGAGAGCCGTAATAAAAGAAAAACAGGAATTATTAACAAAATATATTTTTTTATTTTATTTATTTGATAAAGCTACATAAAATGAATTCCAAATGGCTTATGGAAATTATATACAAAAATTACAATGATATAAAAGTACAACTAACAATATACATATAAACTAAAAAACTTCTATAATATTGATTAAGCCCATTTCAGTCCTGTTAGACTTAGTTGAAAAATATCCATATTACTGAAATTACTATGGTAATTGCGAACGAGCTTTCCCACAACTGCATTCATGCCATAATTAGTCCTATGTGTTTGTTCGTGAAATTGTTGATTTCTAGTTAAGTGAACTGGCACATGAAGCATCACATTTTCTAATAGAACTTGAGTATCAGTTATAGAGTGAAGAATTTTATATAAAAATAGCAGCCTAGTAGTTTTTTGCCTGGGTTCTAAGCTCTTCATCCCTCACAATAGTAATCAGGTTTCAGAGGGAACATTTATCACTGGGAATCTTAATTTGTATAGCAGATATTTAGTTAACTTATTCTGTACCCTTTCTATTCTGGTGATATGGACTGCATAACTAGGATCCCATATGATGCTGCAGTATTTATTCCACGATTCTTCTAATCATAGCATTGAAAAGAGTTCATATATCTTTAGTGTCATTAATGTGTTTGGTGTGCCTTTTTAGAAAACCTAGGAGTCTGAAGCATTTTAAAGTTATATGATCAATGTGACTGTTAAATGTGAGGTCAGATGAAATTAATACTCCCAAGTCGTTAAAAGAAGAAACCGATTCTAGAGTTATGTTATTGACATGGTATAAATTTCTTATGGGATTAGAGCGCTTGTAAAAAGTCACTTTTACATTTATTAACATTGAGTTGCAGTAAATATCTATTACACCACTGAACTAGAGTTAACATCAAACTGTAGATTACAGGAATTACTCGAGTTTGTGATGGTAAAGAATTTGAGATCATCCGCGTATAACACTGTGAATGATCAAATGAGTCAACATCATTAAAAAAGAAAGATTAATATGAGATCAATATGTGATTCTTGCGGCACACAAGATTTAACATTGATTTTTCTTGAGACACTACCACATTTTAAAATAAAATAAAAACACTATAAAAACCCAGGATACTATATTCGGTACTACCGAAACTCCCTGTATAATAGAAAATTAAATTGCGATTAAATAATTGTTTTAACACAAAAGTTAACACTAAGAATTATTAAACCAAAAGAAATAAAACGGTGGTTACAATAATCCCTGTGTGATAGAAAATAAATTTTTAAATTAAATAATGGTTTAAACACAACGGTCGAACAATAATAATTTTTAAATCAAACGTAACAAACGGTAATTACAGTTCTCCATGTATACTAAGAAAAAAATACGGAAAAGAAGTGTACACAGCTGAGTAGAGGCCTTCATATAATAGCGCCGTTGAGATGATATCCGGATGGTTCCAGATTGGAATTACGAATAATAAACTCTGTAAGTACAGGACCGGTTCACATGGTCCAGTTTGAGCATCGAAACAAAATAAGTTCTGTAAAAAAAACGGTGTTGAGGTAGGGTCTCTCTGACTTGAAAATTACTCTGGTTTTTTAGAAAATTGCATAGACTAGGGAACACTGCGAAACACTTCTAGTATTGGCAACACTGTAAAAGTTGAATATTTATCATTTTTATGTATGTTAGATAGTTATTTTTAAGGCCTTTTGTACTTTCACGTGGTTTCTGATCATTTTATATTAATTTTGAGAGCTGCTGATTTTCACAAAATTAATGAAGTAGTTGCATGACTAATTTCTGTGTGAGTTCTGTTCCCTCCTAAATAAATAAGTGTTCAAGGTATTATCTATCAGATGCAATTTTCACCAATTGAATTGAGTAATAATTAGATTCTTTAGTTTTTATTTTGTTTGGCATTCTTTATACCAAAACATATTTTTTTATTTTATTTACAGTGGTTCGTATTACTTGTAACGTTGAAGAAATAGAAAAAACCATTCATTCTGACAAATGAGTTACCAAAAATTTCATTAGCATTTTACCCTAAATAAGTCCATCTTTTCAAAAGCGAATTAGAAAAATATGAAAAAATTATGTCAGTTATCATGATAAAACCAACAAAATCTTGAAAAAAATGCGTTTGGGTATGGGGAATGCCAAACAAAATAAAAAATAAGAAATTAATTTATAAATTAGTGGTATAACATACAGAGTATTGCACTCGAAAAAGTTGAAAATAATAACGTTTATACCTCTCCATATCTCTTATTTTGAAGGCCAGCTAAACTGTTCTATTACTATAGGAGGCTAAGAGTGACTTCCTATGTTTGTAGCATTATAGCGAGGCATACTATAAAACCACGCCGTATGTTATCAAATAATTGAGATACAGGGGTTTGTTAAAAACGCACCATTTTGGTTTTTCATGATTATTTTAAAAACTAAAAACAATTGATAAAATGTAATAGCAGTTCTGAAATGATTATAGAATCCTGAGATACATTGTCAATTTAACCGATTATGTAGCTCTTATAATAATCAAGATAGTAGGTGAATTTCAATCTGGGACACAGTGTATGTAGATGGAGCATTGTTGAATAGATGTTACTCTTTCATTTATAAGTTTGAATCTGCATATCACTTAAAGATTCGACTTAAAATATATTGTGTTGTATAGAAATTTTTATCTTAATACGACAGTACATCTAATCTAACTTTTGTTTGAACTTCCCCTATAAATTACTTTATTTCAGTTGTTGAATATCGCCTAAATCGTTCCGAAGATGCATTCCAAGAATTAAATAGAAAATCAGCAGCCTTGAAAAGAATTCTTAGTAGAATTCCAGATGAAATAACAGATAGAAAAACATTTTTGGAAACCATAAAGTAAGTTACCTTTGTTGTTTCTTTCATTTTTTTCCAGAGCTAAAATATAAATAAGTAACTGTTTTTGTATTAATTATGGTTCTAAAGGTTATGTAGAAATCCAAATCTGAAACACTTGATTTTTTTAGAGAAATTGCCAGTGCTATAAAAAAATTATTAGATGCTGTTAATGCAGTAAGTGGTTTCATTCCGGGAACCACAGGAAAACAGTCTTTAGAACAAAGGAAGAGAGAATTTGTTAAATATTCTAAAAGGTTCAGTAATACATTGAAAGAGTATTTCAAAGAAGGACAGTAAGTAATTCTTTAATTTTCACTTTCAGTAGATGTTTTCATTGGAAGACATATTGCAAGATCTTTGCGCCATCTATCAGTTTACATAGCAAGTAATAGAGGTAGCATTTTATTTCAAAGGAAACTGTAAATTATCGTTCCGGCAATCTGTCTAAGGTTATGACTTCAGTATAAATTTCTTTTTTTTTTTCATGTCTTCTACTTTAGTTGTATGGGCTCAGTTTTTCACTATCACTATCTGAGGTATACCTGGCTTTCCAAGAAGCGCGTGTTAGGGCTTTTATGGTTGAGTTTTGTAAAATACAAACTTTTTAAAAACGAAACACTGGCACTGGGTAGATAGTAAAAAAACTGAGCCCATACAACTATAGAAGACAAGGAAAAAATAAATTTATGCTGATGCCGTAACCTTAGACATGTTGTCGAAACGATAATTTCTGGTTTCCTTTGAAATAAAATTCTACTTCTATTACTTGCTATGTAAACTCATAGATGGCGCAAAGCTCTTACAATGACTTTGCAACGGTAATATGTCTACCAATGAAATCATCTATTGCAATTTTTAAGGTAATTTTAGAAATTTGGCTTTAGGCAATTAGTTATCTATTATATAATGAGTTTAATGTTCATTAAAGAGTGTACTCTTTCTTAATCGGCTACCTCGGGACTACTTAAGGGACCGGTTGTTGTTTTTGCCGGACAATCAGACGGATACTAAGCCTGTTTTTTTACATAGTAAAAGTTATTTCCAGAGAATAAATGTACAAGGTGTCTGATTAAGGACTTTTAGTGGCTGAATCTCAGAAACTATTTATCCTACAGCTTTGAAAAAAATTTTTTTATAACAAACATTACATTTGAAATCTTTATTTAAAAAATAATAGAATAATATATTTACAACATAACATAAAATAAATAACACAATTCACGAGGGTTTTGAGTCGGCGTAGCAGGTACCTGCTGGGCCAATGATGATGAATTCGCCTATTTTATATATAGCTGCTGTAAAGTAAGGTTAGGCTAAACATAGCAGCCCTCACTCCTTGCCAGAGAGATAGAGATACATTTATAACAAAGTCGGCCAAGAAAAAATGCTGGAAATTAGTTTCAACTTTATATTTCAACCGTTAGAGGGTGCAATTCGCTATGGTAATGCAAAAAATCAGTTTTTATCTATAAATGTCCAATAATAAATTATTTACGGAATAAATTAACTAAAAATAAAATTTAGTGACTTCGTCACAATACAAAGAAACATTGTCTTTAAACAGATACATATTTATTCGTAAGCTTGTGTATATTTATATCATACACAGTAAAAAATATGAAATTAAAATAATAACATTTTAAATCAATATTTTTTAAAAAAATCTGTAATCTTCTGTTGTGGTGTCGCCACAAATCAGGCCGGTTAATGAGGATCCGGTTAAGAAGGAGCATACTGTACTGTGTCTAGCCTGAAAGGTGGTGAGAATACAGGGATAATCAATAATTAGTAGTTTTAGCCATATTTATTTTATAATTTTCCACGTAGAGTTGAATACATATAAAATAATATGAACTTTTAATTTTGGATCCTATTGACGGATATATTTAGTTTATAGATTGTATAAACATATAGGGTGTCCCAAAATGTGACTACCAACTGTCTAGTGTAAATTCCTGGCACCAAATCATGCCCATTGTGGTGGATAACTTATTTAAATAAATTAACATAGCAGAATTGTATGACTTTTTGGGAAAATTTATATTTAGGAAAGTTTTTAATTGCTACATGTTTCTTATTGTCTTGTTTTAATTTATACACCAATTTGATTATACTCTTGAAATTGACTAACTTGTTAATTTATTGTCGATTTTAAATGAATATTTACTTTTATGGGAATTAATGTATCTCTTTATGCTTTTAAGAGATACATTTAGATCCTCACATGATCATTTATGTTTTAGTGCCAATTCAGTATTTGTAAGTGCCCTATATTTAATTCACCAGACAAATATGATAATAACGACAGTGAAAAATAAATGTGAGTAATGGATAGTTGGAAACCGGAATGAAATAGAGACACTGTTCCATTTTTGTTAACAGTTGAAAACGCCCATAGGAGATTTAATTATTTTAATTGTGACTTACTTTTTTTAAATATTTTTTAAATAAACTATTAACGATGTACCCCCTACACAAATTATTAACGTTTTTCGGTTAAGGTTTAGAGTATTATTACAAATTATTATTAAGAGAAATGTAATATATGTTATGAAAATATATAATGTTGTTATGACACATGTTTTGTGTTGATTGTATAGAAGTATAAATGAGCGAATTAAAATAATTTTAACTTTAGGTTTTTTGCTTTTTTATTAATTTTACTATCAAATTTTGTATTTTTGCTAAATCAAGAGTACTTGAGCTCTTGAAATTTTAATGGTTCATCATTAACAGAAAAAAAAAATGATTTGCAGGTTCTACACTTTAACAGACATTTAATGATCTTTTTGTTTTTATGTATATTTTTGCTATTGCTATGCTTCATTTTACTTGCTTTTTAGCATTTTTTTTTCTTTTAAATTCAAAATAACTAAAGTTACTAAAGAAAGTGCAGAAAAATGTTTTTTTATCTTAAAACGAAATGAAAAAAAAGTGTAAAATCAACTTTTAAAACTAAATAGAACATTATTGCTAAATTGCTAAAATATTAAAGAAGCTAAAAAAATACATTTTTAATAGAAAAATGTCATTTTAAGCTTGGCTATAGGACCTATGTGGTTAAAATTGAGTACGTCATTAGTGTGTGGAAGTCCCATGTTTCTTTTATATCTAATACTTTTAGTTTATAAATTAAAATGAAAAAACTATTACTTTTTGGGCTTATTTCAATTAAAAAATAGTAAAATAATATACTGGGTGTTCAATTTGAAAAAACGAAGTTTTATAATATGTTTATAGATTAGCAAGTTGGTGTCCCTGTATAAAATCGCATGTACATAAAAATAAACTTTTAATCATCTCTCAGATGTTTCAGTTAACCCTTTGCATTTACCAAATATTTTAACTAAACTGTCAATAATAAATTTTTTAAATAATATTTTCATAATTTCTCTGTATTTTTTGGCATAAATTGGCAACATCGCAGAATTAAAAAAACAAATAACTTAGTATTGGAATGTAACATTTTGCGCTAAAATGGTGAAAAATATATAGGATGGTTCATTTAAAAACATCGACACTCAAGTTGTCCCGATGTAATGAATACCTAATATATTTCGTAGCATTTTAGAAATATGCCAAAAAGTAAGCTCTGTAACTTTTATTTAAAACATTTTCTCATATTTCTTATGATAAGAGAGATATTGGACTTCCTCGTACTAATTGGCCACCCTGTATTTATAGAGGTAATGGTTATGTCGTCTATGACGCTAATGCGTTGTTACGAATAGAATTTTCCGAAAATGTTGATAAAAAATTTAGTCACAAATGAACCAATAGTTTAAAATATCCAATATTCATAAAATCATCGAAAAATAGCTCAATGGGTGTCCTTCCATTACATCTATAATATAATATTAGAAGTAACTTTTATTTGAACAATTTTCTTCTCCAAACATAAATAACAGATATATTCCATAAAATATAAAAACGTTCTCCCATAAAGTACCCCCCCCCCAGATGTTCCGATTTTATCCAAAATCTAATCATTTCACCTCAGGCCGAAATAAAACTTAATGTTTTTTCCTTTTTCCGTTTTAAAGTTTCTTGAAAATTCGAAATTTACACATTTTCTCAACTATCTCGAATACGGTCCATTTTAGAGAAATTATGTATAGAATAAAAATTATAGAGAATTATTATTTAAATTTCTATTACAAACAACTTTTATTTAAACAATTTTTATAAATTTTTTACATTTTGTCAAATTTCTTGAATACGGACCATTTTAGGAAAATTTTGTATAAAAAAAAATATTGATAATAATATTGTAAGTAACTTTTATTTGAAGAATTTTCTTCTCCAAACGTAAATAACAGATATATTCCATAAAATATAAAAATGACCACCTATAAAGTACCCCCCAGATGATCCGACTCTGACCAAAATCTAATCAGTTCATTGGACGCCGGAATAAAGCTTAATTTTAAAATTTGGTGTTTTTCTTTGTATCGGTTCATAAATTATGGTGGATACACACGCACACGCACGCAGACACACAGACAAACATACAGACATCATCCCGAAAATAGTCAAAACGAATTCAGGGGACCCCAAAACGTAAAAATCCGTCGAAAATTGGAGGTCGAAAAAAGCGTGATTCCTATACTTTCCTTATCTGTATACAGATAGGAAAGTAAAAAGTAGAGTTGGGCAATATCGTGATGCTTCAAACAACTAAACTAAATAAATGAGGTTTTATGAAGTTAAATATTCGATAACATTTTTCTGGAAAACATTTATGAAATTCTGTATCTGTAACGTGTGAAGGGTGGGTTACCCCCACGGAACTTAGGCCTCATTAGGCCCATTGTGCATCATCCTGAGATGATAGGCACCTCCTAGCTCGTGAGCCAGCCTACAGATTTTATGTAGTTGACAACGTCGCCAAGAGGTGCTTCTCTTATATCTGCCGGTGTTAGCCGATACTCGCCGAACACAAATCTTCAAATAAATGAGAGCGTCGGGCAATCGTAAAGTATATGCTCGATGGTCTCATCTTCTTGTTCGCACCCATGATATGGAGATGCTTTCGGACTTGGCAATGACCAGTCAGAATGCCTGTGACTAGGCGCAGATTCTGTCTAGTCATAGTGAAGTATTTGTTTGCTGCAGTATTGTCACGATAACTTAAGAGCTCCCTGGCAACTCTGCAGTTTCATTTTTCATCCCATCTTTCCTTGAATTTCAACAGGGAATGTTCTTTGATTAGGTCTGTCACTAACGATCTTGTCAGGCCAATAGAAGGGCCAGGTCCAAAAAGTATTACGTTGGCTGTTTTCTTGGCTAGTGAATCAGCAAGACGGTTACCTTTCGATGTGGCGTGACTTTTGATCCATCTTAAGGTGACCACATTGTTGATGGATACTTCGGCCAAAGCTTCGTGACATTCTAGTACTAACCCTGAGTAAATTCGTGGTCTGTTCAGGGTGAGTAGTGCTTGTCTGTTATCTGTATATATAGATGAGCATGTTCCTTCCAGTGATATTGTTTCTAGTTATTTCTTTTGCTGCTATGAGCGTTAGCTCTGTTTGAACTACACTGGCACTATTGCTCACAGCTCATTTTATGTTTAGGTTTAAAAATCTGGAGTATATTCCACATCCTGAGCCTCGTTTTGTTTTAGAACCGTCGGTGTAGAAATGAATCGTACCTGCCACTTCCGTCTCTTCTATTTGTTCTATTATAATATGGCTTATGAAAGATATATCTCAGTGAGATGGAGTCCATGTTAGCTTGAAGCAGTGGGAGCGTATCGAGCGCCTCCTGCCAAAAGCGAGGTCTCGCCTCACCAGATCCTACATCAGGTTCTATTCCAACCGTGCGGAGGCGTGTCATTGTCGTCAGAGCAACCTCCTTGATGTAAATATCAAGGGGAGTGAGACTAAGAATGACTTCCATGGCCCTGGTCGGTGTTGTTTTCATGGCTCTTGTTATGTTGAGATATGCTGTTCTTTGAATTTGTTCTAATTTACGGATAGCTGTTAATTTTTGGGTTTTCGGTTCTGCACCGTATGTTAGCATAGGTCTTGATAGCCGTGTAAGTCCATGCGACGAATCTGGGGGATAAACTCCAGGTGCGCCACACGGTTCGGCGGCATTGTTCATAACTCTATTTATGAAATTGCTAGAAGAACGTTTAAACAATGTCAAATATCAGTAATTAAATAACGATCTGTGAAATGTCACCCAACTTTGATAGAGATTCGATGTAACTTATATGCTTGAGAGATAGTTTGTGAATTAGGCAGTATTTGAAAAAAATAGGAATAGCAAAAACTGTTGAAATATTAAAAAATGTTGGAATAGGTATCAACAAAATTTATTTCAGAAAAGCAATCGAGCCTTTACTCGTTTTCTTTTATATTATTTTTAAATGTCCATCATTTCGTCCACTTACAATAACAAAGTTCTAACTACACCTTTTTTCAAATTCTAAGTTTTAGTATTATAGGGTTCTAACTGCTATTTTCTGCCTATTTTTAATAAATATAGCGACATCTAAAAATCGTAAGATAAACTAGAATAAACGCAGAGTTCTATCAGCCACAAACATTTGTTATTTTTATTTCACATGGTTGTATCTGCCTACACTTAGAACTATATTATCCGAAAAGAGTAGTTAGAACGTTGTTATAGTAATACGGTATTGACGGCTGCTTGTTTTATAACCTTAAAAGTTAGTGTATCTGTGTTGTGTATAAAGACGACCAAAATTATAAGATTACCATGAATAGAAGTAAATTAATATTAAAAATGGGTAAGTAATAACAGCCTAAAAATATGATTTAATAAGTGCTTTATAAAATTTGAAAGCTTTCGTTATATTTGTTTCATTATTTTAAGCTCATGAGAAATGTAACGGAATTCCGTTGGCCGAAAATGGCAATAAAAGTGAGCTTTTAACTGTATCTCAATTGTCAGAAATCGTTACCAATGATAATGTAGCCGACAATAACTCCTTTCATTCGATAGAAGATATGATAGAAAACGCGGAAGTAGTTATGGACTGTGACCAATCTACCGTCACCTCTTCATTCATTGTTTCCAATCTTTCAGAGCAGTGTTTTACTAAGGCACATTTAGAAGACATGACCCAAGAAATTGATGTAGAAAAAAATCTAGTTCAAGTAATAAAATGAATTAAAGCAATAACAAACACAAAAATAACATCCCCTCTTTATTTTTTAGCTAAACGAATTAGAAATTCAGGTTTATGGAGAAAATGCCCTATTGGAATCAGCAGAAATCATGACAATTTCTGAACTTCCAGACCAATGTGTTGAAGCTCCTATAGAAAAGGTAGCCCAAGAAGTCGTTATTGAAACTAACGGAGTGCAGGTAATTAAATTCTATAATATTAAATACTCAAAAAACACATTTTTTTTTATTTTTCAGCTTC